TTACGGCTTTTTGGAGAAACTTAACTACTAAAGAAAACTTTTAAGTTACTGGCAACTTAAAAGGAAGGGTCACCCTGCTAAAATTTTGAAGTAGTGCAGTTCCGTTTACTGTTTAGGTCTCTCTGTTGACTTTAACCGCCACTGCTCATATTAGAAAAAAAACAGCATTTTACATACATTCTTTTTTTACTGCCCTCAATTTTTTCTTTGATACCTTACCAATAAAAAAACATTTTTTTCATTATATTCTAACACATAAATGAATTCTAACAAAAAGCCAACTTAATTTTCTACAAATGTTTGCTGTCAAATTTACAGTTCTAAAGTCTTTGACTGTACTCAATCATTTGATTAAATATTTTTGAGTAATTACTGCAGAGATGATTCATTAATTGATCCGCACCTTATTTGAAACTTAAATGTTACTTTTTTCTGTTCAATTTGATTTGATTCAAAACAAGGATATATAAAAACTCTTTCGAAAGTCTTGAACTGAGACCAAAAAAGCTAAAAGTTACATTTTGTTCTCTCATTTCCAATGTTTCAAAATATTTTAGTCTGTTTAACATCGTCCGCAATAGCTTTAAAAATACTTGTATAAGATGCTAGTTATTGGTGAGAACCTTAAAAGATATCTAGCGTCAATGTTGCTCAGTAGGGTGCAGTGATAACATTAAAATTTTTTTTTTTTTTTGATTTCTGTTATAATAAACCTGCATGATGGTTTTAACATCATATCAGAACCTAATGAAAATATATTTATGTAGAACTTTGTAGAAAATTGTAGAACTTTGAGGGGCCACAAAAGTTAAGAATAACAACTATTTCAAGTTTATTTTCTGTCAGTTATTCATTTCAAGAACGTCATTTTGAATGGCTGAAATCAGATTTTGTGTTAAAGACTTTCATAGCTGATCGCGACTCTATTCTTGCATGAATAAAACCATCACGCTAAGGTTCACAGACTGCCATACTGGCTTCAGTAACTAGCTTCACGCTTCTTTCTACAGACTGAGTGTGGCATGAAAAGCTTTTAAATTGTAGCATTTCTGAGGTCAGAATGCTGTTTTTAGGCGGGATAGCTCAGATAGTTAGAGCGTTAAAGGAAAAGTGAAAACCCGGACTGTTGAACGATACGAGTTCAAATCCCGCCACCGCCAACTCAGCGCTTGAGTAGTACTTCGGTACGCAAAAATATTGGTCAATAACGGATGCTACTTTGGATTAGTCTTAATGACTATTTGTGGCTGTTCCTATGCTAAGCCAACAATATCTTCGGATATAAGAACATTGTGTAGAAAAATATAGCATGAAATCTCAAACAAATAAAAATAAAAATAAATAAAAATAAGCTGAGTCGATTCAATAGATCTGAGCATTGGAGGTTCAGCACTTTTATTTGATGGCCAGTTGATTATGTCTGTATAATCTGTTGCTTCAAAGTTTAGCGGTGGTATCTTGAACAATCTAACTGTAGATTTAGCATCGGTCTTGTCGAACATCGATCTTGCAGCCAATACACGTCTTAGTGCTAATTGACGAATGTAGAGGTCTTTCATCGGTTGCAGTTGATATTATTAGGTTTTCTGGGTGAGCAAAGTATGCATTTCTTTAGATTACAGGATTAACAATTTTCTTGAGCTCGATAGGCAAGTATCTGGTATAATGCACTATTCGAAAGAGATGGCGACGAAGCAAAAGCCAAGTTTGGCTTTTTCTTCTGTCCCTTTAAACTTTCGAATTCGCAAATGCGCAATAAAAAATCCGGGGGATGCTTAACTTTTCGTTGTCTTTATTTACGCTTACCGCAGGCCTACTAATACGCCATTTTTTTCGGCATTTCGGCGTTTTAGAATTCGGCTTTTTAGGCAGTCCCGTAAAAAAGTTTTAACCACTGATCCTTATAATAACTTTATAATTTAAATAATAAGTTATTATAGAGATCAGTGGTTTTAACTCACTGATCTCAAAATATAACTTATAGTTATATTTTGAGATCAGTGTTTCAACTACATAAAAAAAAAATTTGCGGACGTGAAAGATACAATAGCATTTTAATAAGGTTGAAACTAAATTTCAGTGAGCAAATCCAAGTTTTGCGTTTTTTATAAAATCCTGACCCAATTAAGGTATATCAAATTTGTTTTTAATAGTAATAAGTTATAACAAATTTTGCTATAATATATAAAAATAATTATTTAATATAATAAGCACATTAAATTATTTATCTATTGCAAATTATTATAAAAAAATGAGTATAAACAGTGTAAATAAAATTAGACAATTCAGGTCTTGATTTTACAAAAAACGCAAAACCTGGATTTGCTCCATGGAAAAAAGTATCGATCTTTTAATAGTAATTGTAGCGATGTTTGATAATATATGTATTTATTCATAGATAATGTCAGAAAAGAAGTCTGAAAACTATTTATGGGTGAATGCAGAACCTTTTGATATAGGTGTTTTACTTATCCCACCACCGAGCAAATTGACTCATCATGTGAGTTAAATTTTAACTTATTTAGGCAATGTAATTATAAATAATGAAGGTATAGTTATATTATATAACTATATGCAACTATATATAAATATATATATATATATATATATATATATATATATATATATATATATATAAATATATATATATATATATATATATATATATAAATATATATATATATATATATATATATGTATATATATATATATATATATATATATATATATATATATATATATATATATATATATTATATAACTATATGCAACAACTTGCATATAGTTATATTATATATATATATATATATATATATATATATATATATATATATATATATATATATATATATATATATATATATATATATATTATATAACTATATGCAAATATATAAATATATATATATAAATATATGTATATATATATATATATATATATATATATATATATATATATATATATATATATATATATATATATATATATATATATATATATATATATATATATATATATATATATAAATGTAAGAATGGGCTATAAAAATTTATAATAGCTTTAACTAACAGGGCATATTCAGGGGGTTAGAGGGGTACCCAACGACCATCTTCACTGTCAAAAAATTCATTTTTTTAAATAAAACAAGCTTATTTTAAGGAAATTTGTAATTTTTATATGCAAGAAACTGTTATAATATGCATTCAAACCATGGCCATATATGAAAGATGTATTTTTGAGTTAAGGGTGGATGATGGTGTTACGGTTTAACACAGCTTTTTATCAAAAATGAAAAACTGATATAAATATATACATATATGTTTTAATTAGTAAATCTAATATAAAATACAAAAATTATAATTCACTTCTTTACAACATATACTAATGGTACATACATTGATTTAGGGTGAGGGGCATAAACCCTTGCCGCTGTTCCCTCCCCCGCCACTCCAACCTGAAAAAATATAATTTTTTTTAATACAACCAAAATAAATTTAAATTACTATTTAAAATATGAGAAATTGATATAAAATTTTTTTACCACATTACAAGATACATCAAAGTATTTATATTTTTAGTAAATGAAGCATTGTTCTGCCTCCCCCTTTCATCAAAAAGAAAAAAAAAAAAACTATGTATTATTTTGAAACAAAAACTAATTAATTTAATTTGTCTTGGATTTTACTAAATGATTAAAATTTAAATTTCAATATTGAAACTTAATAATAATCATTGTTAATGGTAAATACGACAAGAACACAGAGTTGTTAGTCCTTGGCCTGGCCTTAAGGCCAAAAGTTTAGGCCTTGGCCTTGAAACTGTTGTCCTTGGCCTTGATTATTTTGACCTTTACCAAAAAAAAATTTATATTTTTTTATTGATTTTGTTGAATTCTGCACATAAATTTGGTCTATTTTTACAAAATGTGGTTTTATTTTCACAGTACTTGCTACTTACAGTTTTGTGAAAAATTGAAGTCTAAAGTCTAAAAAAACTTTGCGTACATCTTGGCCTTGAAACTCTTAACCTTGGCCTTGACCTCAAAACTCTTGGCCTTGGCCTTGTAACTTTTGGCCTTGGCCTTGGTCTTGCTACTTTTGGCCTTGTTAACAACTCTGCAAGAACGTAAGCCATAGCCATCTATCATAAAATTGCAATTTTCAATTTTTGGTTCTGTAAATTTTCATATTATTTTGATTTTTTTTGGCAATTACACTTAAAATCATCTTTAAAAAAAGTAAACAAAAAACTTTATGTAAAATAATATAATGTATCCAATATTTTGTATAAATACTTTAACAAGTTCCAACATTTTTGTAATTCAAATTACTATACAATAAAATCCATTCATTATTGAATATTACAACATTTTAATCAGTGTAATACATGTGGAAACTAGCAAAGTCATAAAAAAGTTGACATGTGCAGGCCAACATGGAATGACTTTAATGGTACCTTTTTGCAAGTCACACCATTTGCTGTACTTTTTTTGCAAGTTACACCGATTGCGGTACATTATTTATATATGTGTAAATAATACACATTTACATAAGATTTCCCTTTATTTATATATATGTATCAAATTAATAAATATATCTTATATCACAAAACTGATTTTATTACAGTCTATCATATGTACACATTAAAAAACAACATAATAAATTTATGAAAATATTAACTCTTCTGATATAACATCATCATCAAGGTGAAACTTTTTTTAGCTAACAACTTCTAAATTGGTTTCTTCAATTTTCCATTAAGAAATAGTGAAGTTCTGTCTTCTTTTATTTATTTTTTCTATTTGCCCATCATACATTACAGACAAATCATTCATTGCAGACTTCTCTCCCAACATTTCTTTTTGACATTATGTCATTTAAGCCAGCAAGCTGCTTGTTAGAAAAGTGTTTATATAAATTTTTCATGTCATTAAAAAATGCAAAATTAGCATCTGCTAAAGTTGCTTCTCTTTATCGAGCTCGTCACTTTCTTACTCTGGATTCTATTCTCTATCTCTATAAATCTCAAATCCAGCCTTGTATGGAATACTGTTGCCATATCTGGGGCGAATCTTCTAATGATGCCCTTTCTCTTTTAGACAAGGTGCAAAAACGCATTGTAAACATAGTTGGACCTGCTCTTGCAGCCAACCTTCAACCTCTGTCACATCGTCATAATGTTGCTTCTCTTTCTCTTTTCTACTAATACTATAATGGTCACTGCTCGAAAGAGCTAGCGTCTCTTGTGTCATCTACTATAATTCATTCTCGTGTTACTCGTCATTCAAGTCTCATCCTTTTTCTGTTACTGTTCCTAAGTGCTCTAAAGCTGGATTCTATTTACAATCATTAATTGTTGTCAAAATATCATTTACTACTTGTATACTAGTGACATGATAAAAACTTGCATTCTTATCTGAGACATAAAACTTTTTCATCCAAGATCCAGTGAGAAATTTTCCAAAAAATCCTAGCACACACAATTGTTTTACAGCAGTTGCATTTACAAATGCTGCTCGCAAAATAAACTGTAAAGTACCACATTTTACTGTTCCAGTGGTTAGAAAACGTAGAATATTTTTTTCTCTTAAACAAAACTTTCTCTTGAATGTGGCCTATTTTTCAAGTTTTAAGTTTTGAAGTTGGCCTATTTTTCAAGTTTTAAGAAATGCTTTGATTATTTTTGGTTTTTGATAGCTAACTTTTTGGCTAGCTGTCAAAAAAAGCTATAGCCTTTGAATATTATTTGCAGTTATAGAAAATAGACAAGGCTGTAATATATATATATATATATATATATATATATATATATATATATATATATATATATATATATATATATATATATATATATATTATATATATATATATATTATATATATATATATATATATATATATATATATATACATATATATATATATATACCCTTATAGTGTAGTCGAAAGAGCGTTTTAATGTAAAAAAAGTCTCTTATGACTACAATTTTAATTACCTCGTCTCTTAAGCTGTTTTTGATTGTCATCGAAATGTCAAAGCAATTAATTTATGCGGAAGTACATTAAATTTAATTGTTTTTTAAAAAATTTTTAAAAAACCGCAATTATAACGACTAGAAAGTTTTTTTTAATTAGTGGTGTTTTTGTTATTGATTTAATAAAAAACATTTTTTAAACATGCGTAAATGTTGCTACATCGACTATCTTATAGCCTGATTCGCAACGGAGTGCTGCTACATCGACTGACAAATAGCCTGACTCGCAACGGAGTGCTGCTACATCGACTGACAAATAGCCTAACTCGCAACGGAGTGCTGCTACATCGACTGACAAATAGCCTGACTCGCAAGAGAATGCTGCTACATCAACTGACAAATAGCCTGACTCGCAAGGGAGTGCTGCTACAACGACTGACAAATAGCCTGACTCGCAAGAGAGTGCTGCTACATCGACTGAGGGTTTGGTTTGGCCAGGCAGTCTATCAATTAAAAAAAAAAAACTTAAAACTTTTTCTGGTCTGGTTTATTAACGCGCTCTTTAAAACTACAGTTTATGGGAAATATTTTTTGATGCCACGCAAGAGACATGCAAGAGTATATATATATATATATATATATATATATATATATATATATATATATATATATATCTATATATATATATATATATATATATATATATATACATATATATATATATATACATATATATATATATATACATATATATATATATATACATATATATATGTATATATTTATATATATATATATATATATATATACATATACATATATATATATATATATACACATATATATATATATATTTATATATATATATATATATATATATATATTTATATATATATATATATATATATATATATATATATATATATATATATATATATACATATATATATATATATATATATATATATACATATATATATATATATATATATATATATATATATATATATATATATATATATATATATATATATATATATATATATATATATATATATATATATATATATATATATATATATATATAATACAGCCTTCTCTATTTTCCTGAAAATATTTACTTGAATGCTTAATACTTATCCATATTATACATTTTTATAGGTTTTATGGTCCCTTAAAAAAAGTATAAGAATCTCAGTATATAATTAGTAGTAGAGAAAAATCTTTTTACCTTTAGATAACTTGTGATACCTTTTTGCTAGTCATAACAGTTGTGATATACATTCTTAAAACACTTTTCATATCAAGAAATAATATTGAAATATCGTTTTTAATTATTAAAACAATCTGTGCAAAAATCTAAAGAGATTTATTAAAATAATATGTATTTTAACCATTTATTTAAGAAGTGACAAAATTATTTATATGACATTAAACAAAATTTTTCAAAAGTGTAATACTCTTAGTAACAGTATTACATTTGTAATATGAAGTTTACTTTTGCTTTACCAACAAATATAAAAATA